GAGGCTCTGCATGGTCAAGATCATGGTGCACGAGTCTTTCCCGTTCCTTTGTCTCAGTGTACGGCCACACCACGCTTGGGCTCTCAGGCGCCAACATCACTTTCTTAGAGGAGCTCAGTGAAGCGGTGGCCTCGGCGGGCTGCCCGTTTGTCATCGGAGGTGACTGGAACATCGATGCAGAGCAGCGGATTGCATCCCAATGGGCAGATCACCTCGGGGCGACAGTGGTCAGGCCCCCAGGAGCGACGTGCCACAGTAGCTGTTACGACTTTTTTGTAGTCAGCCGCTGTCTAGAATATCATGTCAAGGAGTGCATTGAGCAGCCTGACACGCCAGTTGGGCCGCAGTCTGCAGTTGTGCTTCAACTTAGGCAGGTGGCTGGACAGGCCAAAGCGCGGCAGCGCGCGGCGCCTCGCAGTTTCCCGCTGCCCAAGGATGATGAGGAGAAGGCCCGCATGCAGCGTGACCCCAGCCAACAGCCGCCCCTCTTTGATTGGGCTGCTCTCTCGCCCCACGCAGCGATGGAGCAGTGGTTCGACGCTGCGGAGTCGGCGCTTGGCCGCCTGCATGGGCTAGATGACAAGCAGTTTTTTGGCCGAGCCAAGGGTTGCCAGGTTCAGCTAGTGCCGCTAGAAGCAGCGCGGGGTCAGGAGCTGCACAGGCGCTCCCCCCCTGGGACCCAACGTTGGTTATCTTTGAGGCGTTTGACCCTGCAGTATATGAAGGCGGCGACTGGCGGCCGACGGCGGCGCCTGCTAGATTCGGCCAGGCCACTGCAAGACCTGCTGGAGGAGGTTGAGGAACCTCTGCTAGCGCGACTGTCGGTGGCTGAACTTTTTCAGGGCCTAGAGGGTCCCAGTCGCGGGGACTTAGTTAATGCCATTCAGCGTGTAGTTGACAGTTGAGTGCAGCAGGAGACAGCGGAAGGCCGAAAGAAGTGGAGATCGCGGGCTCAGTCGTCGGTCGGTCGTGGAGGTCGGGCGGCTCACAGGTACTCGAAAGGCCCCGTTCAGCCTCCTTTGCCAGTCCTTGATGACGAGGATTTCACTGAGCAAGTAGGAGGCCCCAGGACGTTTGCAGGGCAGGCGGCACTCGATCGCATTTTGCGCGATTGAATCCCGACCTGGGCCCACCCAGCGCGCGACGCTGAATGCCCCCCGAGTGGGTGGTCGGTCCCTGAGGACCTGCCGCCGATCACGGCTGACCAACTGCTGGAAGCGGCGGCGTCTTTTAGCCCCTCGACGGCCCTGCGCTGGGACTCCTTCAGCCCGCGTCTCCTTCTTCAGCTCCCCAGGCCTCTGGTTGAAGCTTTTGCGGGGATCCTAACGGCTTGGTGGGGGGGCCCCTCTGGATGGTCTTGGTGGTCTTTCTAGACAAGCCCACGCGAGGGGTGAGGCCCATAGGGCTGCTTCCCCTCTGGGCCAGAGTCTGGAGCCGCATTCGGCATGGGCTCTGTGCGGCCTGGGAACGATCGGTGGATGCGACATTGTTCTGGGTTCTCAGCTCGAGCACGGCTTGCGAAAAGAGTGCGTGGGTCCACAATGCTCTGAACGCCTACGCGCGCACCGTCCCAGGTCTGTCCACGGCGACACTTTTTCTTGACCTGCGCAAATTTTACGAACACATTTCGCGCGAAGAGTTGCTGGCAGCGGCCCAGGCCAGCTCATTTCCGATAGCGCTCCTGCGAGCGTACTGTTGCCTTTATCGAGGCCCGAGGCGGGTGACTTGGCAGGGCGCGATCAGTAGAGCGATCCAGCCGAATGGCACGGTCATTGCTAGCTGCTCGGGCGCCACCACATTTGCCAGGCTGCTATCGCTTGGGGTGCTGCGCAAGGCCATGGTAGGCAACCCGACAGTGTGCATTAAGAACGTCATTGACGACGTCTCGTTGCATGTAGTCGGTGGTGAGACAGCCATCACGCGTGAGCTGGCAGCTTCGTTTCGGTCTGTGACGTCGGACCTGCAGCGCATGGGCCTGCCCATTGCCATGAACAAGCTAGGCCTGATTGCTTCCTCCTCGGCGCTGGCGCAGGAGTTGCCCAGGCAGTGCGCTTTGCCTGCCAAGGTGCGCGCCCAGGTTCACAGGGACCTTGGCGGGGGCGCCAATGATGGCGCCAGGCGGCGTGTGAGCACCCAGCACGAGCGATTTGTGGAGTCCCAGCTAAAAGTGGCGAATGTCCTCGCGCTTCGAGCGGCTGGGGCTCAGCGTGGCACCATTTTTAGGGCAGGCGTCGCGTCGAAGGCCCTCTGGGGAGCCAACATCCAGGGCCTCCCCAATGGCAAGCTAAAACAAGTTCGGCTTGCCGTTGTTAGGGCGGAAGGGAGGCTCCCCAAAGGATGCTCCCTTGAGTTGGCCTCGATGTGTGTGAGGGGAGGTTGGGCTCGGGATCCTTTGGTCATCCTAACGGCCGGTGCTCTCCGCAACTACAGCCAGATCCTCAAGAATCAACGCCTGGCACCTGTGGTGGTGCAGTCTTTTTTTTTTCCAGTGGCCAGGAGT